AATAGGTCTTCCAAATCACTAAGTAAGAGAATATCAAAACAACTTTGAGATTTCACCTCATGCCCACCAATTTGACAAGGATGATTAAGGATGGAAATAATGTGAACAGGCATATAAATGCACCATTGGTGAAGCCGTGAATCAGTCCAACCATTCTGGAGAGCAATTTGGAAATATGTGAGAAAAGTTACCAAATTGTTCATACCTTTGACCTGGTGAGCTAACTACTGAGCATCTACCACAAAGGAATCAAAGACAAAAAGGGACATCTAATATTCATAGTAGACCTTTTAATCTGGCAAGAAACTGGAAAGAAAGTAGGTACCTATCAGATTGGGTAAGGGCAGCTAGGTGGCACAGTAGATAGGGTGCCAAGCTTAGAATCAGAAACATTCATCTTCCTGAGTTCAAATCTGGCTCAGATACTTAAGTTTTGTGTGACCCTGGGCAAGTTGCTTAACCCTGGTTGCCTCAGTTTCCTTACTTATAAAATGAGTGAAGGCAATGACAAAGCACTCCAGTATCTCTGCCAAGAAACCCCCAAATGGGGTCACAAAGAGTTGGACACAACTGAAAAAAGAATGATCAGATGGTGAAAGGCTGAATAAATTGTGGCATATGAATGCAATAGAATATTACATAACAGAAAATGGTAAATATGAGAAGTTCGTAGAAATTTGAGTAGACTTGTGCAGAGATAAAAATTTTTAAAAAAGAAAATATGCAACAATACAACAATAGAAAAGAATGCTAAAAGACAACTGAACTCTAAGGCAACGACCAATCTTGACTCTAGAGGAAAGATGATAAAACGTACCTCTTTTGTAGTCCTGGAGTACTGGATTCTGGAATCAGAGGACCTAGTTTTAAATACTGTTTCTGTCGCTACCTGTGTGATCACAGACCCTCTTTGGACCTCAGCATTCTCAATTGCAAACAGAGGGATTGGATTAGATAAACTCTAAGGAAACTTCTGGCTCTAAATCTGTTATCCCAACCACAGGTAAGGAACCTGCAGCCTCCAGGCCAAATGCAGCCCTCTAGGTCCTCAAGTGCGCCCCTTTGACTGAATCCAAACTTCACAGAACAAATCCCCTTAATAAAAGGATTTATTCTGTAAAACCTGGACTCAGTCAAAAAGGCTGCACCCAAAGACCTAGAAGGCCACAAGTTCCCTACCCCTGTGACCTAAATTAAGGTAAGGAGCTATAGGAACAGAATATTGCCTACAGAGTAAGATGAAGTAACTATCAGCTGGTTTCGCTTGATTTTTTTCATTGGGTTCTACAGTGTGGCGGTGGGGGAGATTAGGAATGTTTGTGGTGTAAAAAACAAAAGATAATAAAAATTTTTTTTTTAAAACAAAGAACATTAGACAGATTCTGAAGACCAAAGTTTGAGTCTATCACTTATTAACTCTGTGTCCTTGTACAGGTTATTTAGCCTCTTTGGAGCCCCATTTCGTTATCTATAAAATGGGGAAAATAGAGAGGCAGCATGACATAGTGATTAGAGTGTTTGACTGAGATTCAAGAAAACCTGGGCTGCTATTCCTGTCTCAGATACTTGCAGCTGTGTGACCCTGAGGAAATTCACTTAATCTTGCTGAGCCGAAGTTTCCACATCTATAAAATGGGGATAACAGCACCTCCCTTATAGGACTGTTGTGAGAAACAAATAAGATAACATATATAAAACACTTCATTAACCTTAAAGTGCTATATAAATGCTATGTATTGTTTTTTCCTACCTCACAAAGTTGTAAAGATTAAATGAGATAACACAGGTAAATTTACAAAAGTAAACTTCTTTTATCTGGTGATACGTTGACAACTACTACTGTCAGAAAGGTGCATAATCAGCTTTTTTTTTTATTGTACTATGTTATGGAAATGCTTGTTTTATTCCATAAATTAAAAATAAAATAAATAATTTTTTAAAAAGAAAGTAGAGCCTTGGTGTACTCTGACTCTTGGAGTTAGGAATTTAAAAATCTCCATCTTTGCCTATCTGCTTTTGCTTTTCGGGTTTTACGTCTATCTCTTCTCCAAACTGCACTCACAATTGAATATAAAAACAGCCTTCACAATGAAGAGAACCACAGGTGTAATCAATAACATAGGATAACATACTCTAAGGAAGGAGAACGTGACACAGGCACTTCCTAAGGCTGGGTTCCCCCCCACCCCCCATGCTGAACAAAGTGCAAGTTGAGAGAATTACAAATAAAACTAGGACCACAGGGAGAATGCACAGTGGATCCTGCCTTTCTGCGTCAAAGTCCTCAGAGTATTTGAGCAGTAAATAAAATACAGGAAGAACGGATATTGCCAAAACAAAGGTAACTCCCTCAAAAGCCTAGATAATCAAACAGGGAAAAGACTGATGAAAATAGTCTTAGATCCCTATCAAAGACATCAGGATCAAAGGGCCAAAGACTAGGGATTGTTTCAAAAGTTAATAATTAAGGCATTCAAGAAGAAAGAGCTCACTTGGTTCAATAACCATGTAGCCTGTCTTGGGATTTTCTTTGATTGCTTATCCCCACCTCCAATTAGACAGCCAAGGGAAAAGCTGGCAAAACCTTCGGGAAAGGGGACCAATACAAGGAAGAGCCAAAGAGAAGTGGGATAGTGACCACTGGCCTTGCGTCTTGAACAAGCTCCCTTGTTTTAGACACTGCACTCTTGAGTGTGGCCAAAGAACCACTGATTTTGGAGAGAGCATCTTGTGGAAAAGAAAGGAAAACTATATTTAGATAATAGCTTTAAGATTTTCAAAGCACCTTAATATGATATCTCATTCGATCCTCACAATAATCCTGTAAGGTTGGTGCTATTATTGTGAGGAAATTGAGACTCGGAGGATAAGCAATTGATACCTACAGTCATAGAGATCTGACGAGGCAAGATGTGAACTCCAGTTTTCCCCACTCTGAGTCCAGTGCTCTACCCACTATACCACTGCCTTTTGGGGAACTGCACAAATAATTAGAAGCATAAGTATATAAAAGCATCCAGGCATTAGGTCCTATGATGGTCCCTTTCATATGTTATAGACAGACAGTTACCTGCCCCCCCCCAGGAGACCTGATACAGAAGTAGCATGGACCTGATGAAGATGAAACATGCATGTATGTGTATATATTCACACATATACACGTATGTAAATGTATGTATAAGTTATAAATATACACATGGAACTACAGAATGCTACCAGGACTACTTTGAGGAGATAGTATGTTACAGTGGAAAGAGCCCTGGTCTCCTTACAAGGTGCAAACAAGATGAAAGACAAGCTCCTTTGGTTTCTCCCTCTCTTAAGCCCCAGCAAGCAAAGTTCAAACTACGCCATCACACTGGAGAATTCTGGGAGAAGTTTTGGCCATCTGCAAAGTCTGGTATCTTTATGGCAATGTTCTCCAAACAACAGGCTTGCCTTGCTATTGCCATTGCACCCTAAGGGCCACTGGGTGTTTCCACATCTTTTGCAACTGAACTCTGCTACGTGATCTTTCTCCCAATTACAATGTGTGTCCTTGGGAGTAGGCACTGTCTTGCTCAGTTATTTGTATCTTCAGCCCCTGGCAGAGCGTTTGACAGGTAGTATGTGGTTAATGCATCATTTACCTCAACCCAGGCCTAGAAACTTAAAAAAAAAATTCACATTAGAGACATGAAGAGCAGCAGGAAGGAGAGAGAAAAGGAGAGGAAGAGTGAAAGGGAAAGAGAGAGGAAGACAGAGAAGGCTGGAAAGGCAGAGACAGAAACAGACGGAGAGACACAGAAAGATGGAGATTCCCTGATAAATTTTCATTTGAAAACAAAACAAATAGGAGCAAAAGAACTCCCCAGGTAGGGCTCATACTTGGATCTGTGACTGGAGATTTACATACATATTTGGAATTAATTGTTGTTCCTTTAAGATTTTCTGGGGTTTTTTCTTCCTTTTGAAAAGGAAAAGGTCTACTGTAATAGCGTAGTGCAGGCCTGCAAGTTGTAAATCAATCTCAGAATACTGAGAGAGGGAGGGAGGGAGAAGCGTTACATCTCCCAAGTTTTGAGTGAAGTTGCAAGTTAAGAGAGTGAGAAAGTACCATGTGACTCAAACCTAGAGACCTCAACCCTAATCCCAGACCATGAACCCATCATCCATTCCATAATATTTGGGTCAAGAATATCAAGTATCTCTCAGAGCACTCAGACAGCAACCAAACACAGGAAAAAAAAATTTGCATGAGTTAACTCTCCAAGTAATCATTTGGCCTCATCACCCTAGAGTTTATTCAAAGGATATACTCCAAGAAAATTTTCTCTGCCCCTTATAATATTCCATCTTCCACCTCCATGCCTGGAACACTCTCCTTCCTCATACTGATGAGAATGGTGGTGGGATAAGCCAGTTCCCAGGCTGACTTACCCTCAGGATCATTGTGCCTTCCCACCTCAGAATGAGCTGGGATGAAAGTCTCATAAAAGATAACCATTGATACCAGGTAGGAGTATAAAACCTGGGAGAACTGTGTTGCTGGTTAGCAGATTACATCCTTCCCCATCCCTGACCCTTGAACATCCTAACCTTAGAGTCAATGCTTTCTGCCAGGGCCTGGAGTCAGGAAGACCTGAGTTCCAATCTGACCTCAGACTATTACTAGCTGTGTGACTCTGGGCAAGTCACTTAACCTCTTTCTGCCTCAGTTTCCTCAACTGTTAAATGGGAATATTAAGAGCATCTACCTCCCAGGATTGTTGTGAGGATCAAAGGAGATAATTATAAAGTGCCTGGCCCATATTAAGTGCTACATAAATGTTAGCTGTTATAAGTAGCACTACAGCTTGCTGTGCTTAATCATTTATGTTTGTGAAGTGAAATATGTATATGTTTGCTTACAGCACACTGTCTTCTAAATATTTTAAGTGATTTGAGTTCTATGATAATATTCTCTAAAGAATTAGTTTCTATTTCAAGCAAAACATATCAGTAAAATAATTGAGGCTTACCCTCCTGTAACTTCAAATATTGTTCTCTTGTTTCCAAAAACACTTCTTCAAACTAAAAAAGAAAAAAAAAGATAAAAAAGAAATTATTTTGTTTCCAAAGTCCTAGATAAAGACATCCTTCTACAATATAAGGAAGAAAAAGTAGATTATAGTATTTAAAATGTAGTTTTGGAAACACAGAATCTCAAAGCTGGAAGGGATTTTTGATGTTATCTAGTCCAACCTATACCTGATGATACAGGCACTTTTATGACCTACCCTACAAACGGTCACTGCCTCTGGTTGATGACCTCCAGTGATGAGGACTCTACCTCCCAAAAGATCGAGGTTAAATTTATGCCACCTATGTGACCTTGGGTAAATCATTAAATTTCCCTGAACCTCAGTTTCCTCATTCCCAATAAGAGTTGGGCTAGATAGTTCAGGAGGTTTCTTCTAGCTTCTAAATCTATGATCCCAAATCACCTATCCCCCCTTGGGAGGTACGGCTAGATAGTTCATCTGAAAAAAATTTCCTGGAGTGAAATCTCAATGTAAGCCAACAATGTGATACGGTAGCCTCCCCTTTCCTCCCCGCCCCCCCCCCAAAAGCCAATGTGATCTGAGATCGCATTAAGAAAGGCACCTTACGCCTGACTCTCACCAAGCTACGTTGCAGCTAAACTGGCCTAGTGCTATTTTCTACGTACAATATTCTATCTTCCACCTCATACTATATCCACCTCTTAGAATCCCTGCCTTCCTTCATGGCTCAGCTCGCCTCTTGTGAGAATCTTTTCCTAATTCTTCCAGTTGTTAGCACTTTCCTCCCCTCCAAAATATTTTGTATACATTTTTAATTTGACTTATCTGCATGCATGTTGTTCCCCATCCGCCACCCCCAGTAGGAAATAAACTCCTTTGAGATCAAAATTTATTTTGGTTTTGACTTGGTATATTCAGTACCTAGCACAGTGCCTGGCTATCCCTAAGCACTTAATACATGTGAATTGAATCAAAATGAAATTAAATTACATCCAAAGTAAGAGGGATGACACAAACACAAGACAAGTAAATACAAAATATATAAAGAGTAAATTCAAAATAATTTCAGGGAAGTGGCAAAATTCTAAGGGGGGAGGGGGTGGGTAGGAGATAGGAAAGGATCAGAGAAAGCCTCTCAGAGTGCCTCATGTGAGTTGAGCCTTGAATGGAGCTTGGTATTTCATTTCCATAATTATTCATTCACTAGGCATTTCTTAAACTTATAACCCATCCAGATACTGTGCTAGGTCCCAGGCATATAAAGATAAAAATTAAATAATTCCTGTCCTCAGAGAGCTTATATCCTATAGATTGCTAACAATTATAATGGCAAATTAAAACTGATTTTATGTTACTAGATCCATCAGTTATTAGAATATCAGGGTTTTTTTTAAAAAAAGCAGAACTGGTTATTGAATTGAAAAAGAATACAGAATTTGAATGAAATGTCTTTGTGAACTCACATGGGTGAGTTTATGATCGTCAGTCTATATGAATGTTGGCAGGAAATTATCAAGCTGTTTTGGGACAAATAAAGGGAGTTAAAGAAAAGGAGGGCCACAGTCAACCACACTGAAAATCCCACCAAGGTGGAGACCTCACTGGGAGCATAGCTAACTCCCAAACTTTGTACTCAGGCACAATTTCATTAAATGGATTAAAAAAAAAATAGACTGAGAAATAATGAACTTTCATCCACAGAAGCTTGGCCAAAAAAAAAAAGCTCCCTCTGACTTCAAATAAAGACATAGGAAAATAAGCTATTTCATTAGTGGTTTCCATTGAAACCACAGCTTTAAGGAATGAATGACTAATAAGAAGATTTGATAAAATTGCTTATTTGTTTGAGGCCAGATGCCAAGTTGCTTCGATATCTACAATCATGCTTTGTTGCCCCATCTACACAATACTGTCAAGGCCTTCCTCTTCACCTCCCTACCATGTATGCTCACTAATGAAGGATAACACATATGGATAAACGGACACATTCATGGATGAAAACATAGGCATATGGCAGGGGGCATGAAGCGACAAATCTCTAAAAATTGTCATTCTGGGTCCATTGCCAATTTGCCCTCATCTCTTCCTTTCTCCAGGGTTTCTCTATGTACTTGGCAGATTCTCTTTCCATGATGAGTTGCTAATAAGACAGAGGGCAAGGTATGAGCTTATGTCTAGGGACATAAATGTTCAGGACATGTGACAGGCGTAGAAAGGTCTGACTGGAGCAGATGGATATCCCAAAGAGCTCTACCCTAATTTTCTCCATCTCTTTCTCCACAAAAGAGTTTTATTCCTTCACTTGCAAAAGAGGGGTCATTAGAAGCAGACAGATTGCAGGTGTACTCATGGAACCTGCAGGGCTTCTTTGTCATGGAATGTTGGTTGTTTAAAATGAAGTCCACAGGGCAGCAAGGTGGTGCAGTGGATAGAGCTCCAGCCTTGGAGTCAGGAGGACCTGAGTTCAAATCTGGCTTCAGATGCTCAATACTAGAGCTGTGGGAGGCTGGGTAAGTCACTTAACCCCAATTGCCTCACCAAAATAAAATAAAGTCCAAGTCCTTCATAGTACTTGTCCCTAGAAAGAACAAACCTCAACTCCAGCTGTCGCTAGGAGCCATCGAATGGACTCCATCCGACCTCTTCCATCAAAGTAGTAGAGTATAGGTTTCTCTGCCATGACTTCAGGTTATCAGTTGCCTGGGGAACAAAATAAAGAGAAAGATGTTTTTAAGACAAATTAGGAATTGCTTAGAGGATATTTTTCACCCAGACACTCATATTTACCACTGAGTTGCTAGAAACTCTTCCCTGCCTGCTCATTTTGTTGACTATGGTATTTAAATGGTTGTTACATAAACCCAATGTTGAATGTTGTGTCCATCAACCCAAACTGTTTGCAATTGTTACTAAGTTTGCAAAGAGATAGAGAGAAGGAGGATCCTATTTCTCAGAGGGAAAGATGACCATTTTCCACTCAGTGCAAGATGGAGGAGCAGGGAGAGGTCAAGAAAAAGGAGGGTCTGTTATTTTCATAACCTTTTAGAGTGAATATCAGTACAAGCAATACACTGGACAAGGACAGAAAATCACTCTTGGAAGCCAGAAAGCTCACACATTAGAAATAACATCCACTTTTAGCTTTAGAATATTCTAAGAATAAGTAGCTTCCCCCTCCCTCCCCCCTTCCCTTTGAGTGGCAGCTTGCCAGGGCAGCTTACAAAAGGAAGGGTGATAAAGTCATCCATTCACCACCAGTCAGAATTAGAGAACTTTGGAGAGGCAACAGCTTTATTGAGGCCATGCTATCTGCACTTAAAGCTGAAGGGTTTCTGGCTTTGCTCACACACTCTGCCTGATGGTTACGAAACGATTCATTTTTCTTAACTAACTGCTCCACATCCTCTAACCACAAAAATCAAGTTTTATAGTGTTATAGGAAAATTGAATGAGTTTATGCACAAAAATCCATGAATAGCAAACTTCACCCAAATCCTTTAACTGAATATTTGAAAGGAGTAAGTAAGGAGTGAGACAGAGAGGAAGAAAGAAAAGTGATGCCTTCTATAGTCATATTTTTCTACTCTAGAACCTAACCTTACCTTTCCTTATCTGAAAAAGAGAAGGTCTCAGGTCTTTAATGAGATACTTTTTTTTTTTTTTTTGCCCTTTTCCTTTCTTTTAAATTTGATCTCTGCTCCCAGGGTGGAAGCGGTTCTGTCTCAGGCTTCTTGTTCCATTGGCTATAGGCCCTGGCTGTTTAACTGGTGTGGTGCTGATGTTACCCCGAGGCCCACTGTGGATGCTCTTCTCTAGTGTTGTGTTGAGGGAGTGACTAGAGCTCCTGGAGGCTGTAGCGGCCTGGCAACTTACCTGGTGCTGAGCTGAAGTCTTAGTAGGGGGTGTCTGGAGTGTGCTGAGGCCCTGTGGGGTTTATCTGAGTTTTCCCGAGGCTACAGTGAAACACGTGGAGGTCTGGGTTACTTTCTCTACAAGCTGGAGTGTGCTTGTTTGCTCTGGGCTGTGCTGACGCATTTGAAGGTCTGCCTGTTTGCTCTGGACTGTGTTGAAAAGCCCAAGTTGGTCTAGGCTGCTTTCTCTATCAAGGTCAAGGGTGTATTTGCCCTGGGCTACACTGAAAAGCACCTGGAGGTCTGCCTGTTTGCCCTGGGCTACACTGAAACACGTGGAGGTCTGGGTTACTTTATCTACAAAGCTGGAGAGTGCCTGTTTGCCCTGGGCTACACTGAAAAGCAGGCGGAGGTCAGCCTGCCTGCCCTGGGCTACACTGAAAAGCTGGTGGAGGTCAGCCTGCCTGCCCTGGGCTACACTGAAAAGCAGGTGGAGGTCAGCCTGTCTGCCCTGGGCTACACTGAAAAGCAGGTGGAGGTCAGCCTGTTTGCCTTGGTCTGTGCTGAAGCCCGTAGATGTCTGGGCTACTTTCTCTACAAAGCTGGAGGTCTGCCTGTTTGCCCTAGGGCTACACTGAAGCCCTCCTTTCATACCAGAAAAGAAGTCTGAATTATTATGGTATTAAAGATAAAAATAAGTTGATATTATACAATACTATGCATACATTTTATGCATTTCTGAGTTTCTAAACTTTTTCTGTGTCATCTGCTGGCCTTTGCATATCTTCTTCAGCTTCTGCAAAACTCCCCCAAAATTTCCATTTAATTTCTTATGCCAACCCGAGATATATTGAAACCTCGATGGGGAAAGGATAACTGCTTAAAAACCGTGAAACTCAATTATTCTCACTGTGAGAACAGAACAGTGCCACAAAACCGCAGGTGCAGCAGAAGCAGGCATGGTACCAGTGGGAAACATATCAGGAAGGAAACCAGAGGAGCATCGAGGGCTGCCTAGATTATCAGAAAACAGCAAAGTCATTGGGAGTTCTGACTCTCCCTCAGCTAAATTGAACAGTCCTACCTTTTCAAATGTGGCTTTGTGACCCACGCTTTTTGATCATTGTCAGGTGTGCCTTCCTTTAAGTAAATCTTCTGAGCCACACCCTCCCAACCCCCAAGTTGAGAGTAAGCTCTTCAGGGCTTGTATACCTGAGAATGTTTTTAGAATAGAGCAGTTTTACCTGAAACCTGATGTGTTGAGCTCGCAGAGAACATACCATTGAAAACTCTAGTCACACACTGCCTAATATGAGTCAGCTGGAAAACAATGAGGGTGGCTCGCTTGGGCTTGGATAGTTAGGGTGGGGCGTTCTGGGCAGAGGAGAGTGAGGACAGATGCCTGAACAATGCAACATGATGAAAAGATGCTAGATTGAGTCAGGAAGGCCAGGTTCAACTCCCCACTCCTCCGCTTTCTAGCCATGTAATCGAGTCTGCAATTTCTCTGCACCTCTTAAAAACCAGCTAGCATGATCTACTTCACCCAGTTATACAGAGAAAATGTCTTACATACTCTGAAGCAGGGGTGGGGAACCTGCAGCCTGAGGCCACATCAGGCCCTGTAGGCCTTCAAGTGTGGCCCTTTGACTGAATCCAAACTTCACAGAACAAATCCCCTGAGTAAAAGGATTTGTTCTGTAAAACAGGGACAAAAACTAGGTCAAAAGGCCACACCCAAGCACCTAGAAGGCCCGTGTAGCCTCAAGGCCAAAGGTTCCCCACCCCTGCTCTAAAGTGTCACATACATTGAAACCATTATAAGAAGAACAGAGATGACAATAGCATTTGTTTTTTGTTAGAGATGAACAAACTGGGTATCTAGGCAAAAGATGTCCATCTGGTGACCTCCCTCCAGGAGGTGACAGATGTTCACAATCAAAGAAGATGATGCAATCAAGTCAGGAGCAGTGTCTTTGTACAAGAGTCATAATGGACAGTTGTGTGAAACTTATCTGCCTCTGGTAACACAGTCGGGGCCAGGAACAAGCTGTAGCCCTGGTTACTGGGGCCAGATTGGTCCCTTTATTAATATATTAATTAAATATTTAACAAGTAATAAATATTAACTTAATAATTCATAACAATTAATATATTAATTTAGTGTATTTTGTATTATTTATTATTGATAATAGCATTTATTGTTGTATTTATTTTATTTGTTGTTAATTTATAAATTATATTATTTTCCTAATATCGAGCCTTCCTTACATCCCTGGTAAAACTCCGACTTGATCATAGTGAATGATTTTGGGGGGGATATAATATGTAGTCTTTTTGTTCAGAGTTTTAAAATTTTTGAATCAATATTCATTAATGATATTTATTTTTTTGTTCCTTTATGATTCCTTGGTTTAGGACTATATTTGTCTGGTAAATAGTAAGTGCTTAATTAAAGCTTTTTCATTCATTCACTCATTTTTATTTATTTCTTTTTTAAGACTAGGTCTACGCATCTCATTCAGGCTGGAAGTATGGCTGCTATTCATGGGCTCAATCTCACTGTCCATCAGCATGGGTGATTTGATCTGCTCTGTTTCTTACCTATGTCAATTCACCCCTCCTTAGGCAATGTGGTGGCCCCCTGCTCTCAAGAGGTCACCATGCTGATGACAGACTTAGCTCAGTTTGGCATAGCCCACTGTAGCTCAGATAATATTTGCGAAATGCTTAGCACAGGAGGTGCTTAATAAATGTTCCTTCTCTTCATCTTTCCGTCCTTCCCTCCTTCCCTTTAAAATTCGATAGATCCTCCAGCCTGAGCCTCCCCTGTATCTGAAGTGGCAGTTGTGTACCACCACACGTAGCTATTCATTTATTCGTACATAACAAGAGGCTATATCTATATATCACACTGTGGTGTAAGGGTAAGCTCCATAAATGGCTTCTGGATCATTAAAGAACTGAATAAAGGAAGATCCATACTCATGCGGTTTAGGGTTCAAGGGTGCTGGGACCCCAAAATCACAACACGCAAGTCCTGCCCGAAAGAATTCGACCCAAGCCTTCTTTCCACCTGTTACCAAGTTACCAAGCTGTTACCAAGTGCCTAGTACGGTGATTAGCACTGGGGATTACAAATAAAAAGCAAAACCTGTCCCTGCCCTCAGGGAGCTTAGATTCTAATAGTTACTTTCCATGCATTGCTGTTCTCTGAGTAGTGAAACCTGGAAGAGTCCTTTACTTCAGAATGGTCACACAGCTGCATTTGACTCGTTCTCCCTTCTAAACATGGTGCCCAGTAATCTATTGCAGCCTAGAGAATCCCAAGCAGTCTGCAGGACTTGTTCAGTGATGCCCTCTCCACAGTAGAATGGTATTTACTGTATTGAACAGGATTTTGTGTGTGATGGGGTTGGGATCTGGGCCCCTAAAGCCAAATTTCTGGCCATAATCCCATCAACTGGCCTTTCATTGTGGCTACACTCAATCTCCCCTTCATTGTCTTACCTCTCGATGGTCCGCCATTATCCACCCTTAATCCTAGCTAGGCTCTATTCTCTCCTGGCCAGTAACAGCTTGCTAAACGTTTCTTGAATAAATGCTTGTTGATAAAGTCTTTTTACTGTGGTTATTCAGACGTAACCCTAAAGAAATCAACCTAGACCTTCTTTCTGGTCAAGAGAGAAGTATGTCAGATCTAGCAAAACCACTAGAGTAGGACATCTTCTGCACAGATACGTTATCAGGATAGCCCAGGCTCTTGGGCAAGCTCTGAAGCAGAGATCACATCCACACCCTGAATATATAATTAATAGAAAAAGCTGTCATTATTTTCAGTTGATAATAGTTGTTCTAGTAGGATAAGAGAAAGTTGAACCCTATCTGTCATATGCTACTAAAACACTCCAGGAGTGGAAGGGGCCAAAGAGGGAAAATCAACAGTTTGGGACAGTCCCAGAGAGCTTTCACATGTAAAAAATGGGAAACTTGTCTACTTGGGGACATGAATGACTGAAGGCATTGACTTGTCACTTTAAAAGTATAAAAAGTCCTGATAGCCTCATCAAGCTCTTAACTACAACCAGGAGGAGGGTGAAAACACTTTCATCTTTGAGGTCCTGAGGAAAATGGTGATTAAAGGAACAATTTCCTTAGAGTATGTGAACCACAGAACCATACCAAACTTGCCCAAATGTACAGAGGGGCCTTTGATGCTAAACAGCCACCGTGGCTGCCTGAAAAGCAAGACTGGACTCCTTACTCTTGACTTGTACTTGATGTCATAAATACATTGCTATCTGGTTACAGAGGGATTTTTTTTTTTTTGGCAATTGGGGAATTTTTAGAATCCATTGGGATTAAAAGAAATTGAAGTGTGAGTATAAAATAATGAGACTGACCCTGAAGGAAAATTCCACAAATAGGAATTCCAAAAGCAACGGAGATCATTGTTGAAACCAGGGTATAGTTTCCCAATCTGATGACTGGGGTTAAGTGACTCACCCAGGGTCACACAGCTAGTACGTGTCAAATGTTTGGTCTGAGGGCAGATTTGAACTCAGGTCCATCCTGACTTCAGGGCTAGTGCTCTATCCACTGCACCACCTAGTTGCCCCTGGTTGCAGAGGGATTTTTAAGTGTTTCTTCTGTGACACATGTCTTGTTTCAAATTGTCTCAGCTCCAACACCACTTTATTAGGCTTTTCCTGATTCCCCTAGCTGTTAGGGCCCACCCACCGAAAACTTACCTTCTATTAATTCTGTATATCTCATATATGTACAGATATTCTGCCTGATAGAAAGTAAGTTCCTTGGTAGCAAAAGTTGCTTAATTTTTATCTTTGTTATTTCCAATGGCCAATTGATTGCCTCAAATTATAAGTCCCAGGGGCAGGGCCCAGCAAATCCCCTTTTTATGTGATGTGATCCACCAATTCTATATCATCTTCCTCTGATACTTCATTGTGACATGGAGGTTGTCCTGGGCTTTCCAAGACATTTGAGGAGCACAAGTTCTGATGCCTCTTATTTGGAGTCAGACATGCAAGATTTACATTGGATCTTTTCCATGGCTCATCCCAACTAAGTCCAATG